TTTTTAAGTCTGCCTTTACAATATTATAATATCTTGATTTTAAAACGTTATAATTATGTACGGTATAATTTGGATTCCCATCAATCAATTTCGATATTTTATTGCTGTCAGTGGTAATAATTAACTTCACAAGATTTTGATTGAATTTGAATTAATAAATATCTGTCGAAAATGCATATTTCTGTACCTTTTTGCAACATTTTAGCTGAAAATTCTAAAATTGTTTAAATAAAGACGTAGCTTTCTTAAATCCGTGATGAGGGTATAGAATATAAGAGAATGAGCTAATATTTCACTAATAAAGAACAAAATGAATACAAAATGAATAATATTTATCATAAAAGTTATAAGATGAAACAGTACCACTGCCAAGACGGGAACAATTGTATTATTTGTAAAGAAATTCGTCAAAAATTTTAGTCAATGATGTTTAAGTTCAATTTGTATGTTGCTTATTGCTGCTATTTAATTATTTATATAATTTTAAAGTGTTAATTGCTATCTACGTCCTACTTATTATTATTAGTAGAATATTATTATACTTATTATTATTTTATTATTATTATTAATAATATTATTCTATTTGTTATTTTTATAATTTTTATCTTTGTTATTATTATTATTTTATCTTAATCTATGATATGAATGTGCTTAAATTAATGTGTGTACCTTTACCTACATTGTCAATTTGAAATAGTATCTTAATTACTTTTGTTTTCGGGCGCCACAAGTGTAAAGCTCTGCTTGTTTGTGGTTGCCCTTTCCATTTCCATGTTTATATCTCTACTGTTTCTAATCTATGCATTAAAAATATTTAAAATAAATTTATTTTGAATTGAAAAAAAAATTGAGTATGCAATGGTTATTATAACCTATTTTGAACACTATTTTTTATGTTATGTTGTTACATAACCATTCTTCACTGAGCTCAAAAAACGTATTGTTGAGCCTACATAACATAAGTTCATGATCCATGTAATGTATCACGTCAACATATATTTTAAGATGGTAAAGCACATTTGACGATCTAATACTTAAATATTGTGAACTAGTTTATTACCCGTAATAATGTATTCCTTAAATAAAACCGCACATAAAACAACATAGAAAAAACAATACAATTTAACAAGCCCACAGGAAATCATAAAATTATATATATTCGGAAGAACGCATTATAAGCCAAAATCATAGTTTTAAGATATTGAGCAAACGCGTTTCTTGTTAGCCTTTTGTTATGGAAATGAATAACACTGATTTTTTTTGGGGGGAGGGGGGTGAATGTACTAACTATACAACAGAAAAACATACTGAAGTACTTGTTTTTATATATATTTTTTCTATAACCCAGTCGAAATGGACATAATCAGCTTTTTCAAATTAAAACAAAAGGCAATGAAGCATGAAAAATCTGATTTTAGGCATTATATCTAGTTTTGCCTGTAGAATGCATGCATTAGGCTTTACATAAGAACTAATGAAAAATAACAAATTAAAGTGAATTTTCACCAGGACATCAGAGGTTTTAAATTCCATTATGTTTAAATAACTTAAAACAAAACAAAATAGAAAGTTTCTTGAGGGTTTTTGTTTATATTACCGTATTTGTATAAATCCAGGAAGTTACAGTTTTTCTATTTTTATCAATTTTTAAAATCATTTGGGTAAATCGTCGCACCAACCACAATAGCCGAGTTGCACAGCGCTGAGGGTCAGGCGTCTGCATCTCTCGAATCGCTCGTATTTCTCTTGTGCATGTGTACCTTTTGTTTTATACACAAATATGCTTGAACAATATCAGTTCTTACCTGAAAGATTGCCCGTATGTCCAGGTCATTGAACTGTACCTGCTATCCCGTAGGAAAATAATGTATAGAATTTCTAAAGAAACCATTCTATAAAATTTCTAGAGCATTTCTATAGGCTGATTCTATATGATTTTCTAAACCCTGTTTTATAGAGTTTTAATAGATTTTCTACAAGATCTCTAAAGATTTTTTCATGTAGTTTAAATAGAAATCCTGAAGAACTCCTATATAGTTCTATAGAGCGTTGATAGAGACTCTAAAGAAACTGTATAGAAATTAAAAAAATCTAAGAAAAGTCTATAAAATTTATTTAGAGCATTTCTTTAGAAAAACAAGATTTTATAGAGAAACATTTCTATTTTCTATAGAGCTACAAAAATTACTATAGAACTTTCCATAAATCTGTTTTATAGAATTTATATAGACTTTTGTTCGACTTCTATAGAATTCACATACAATTCTATAGAAAATTAAAAGAATTATATAAAAAAGCTTATAGAAAATTACTATTACGAAAACATTTCACAGAAAGTTGATAGACTTTTCATAGAAAAAGTAACAAGTTTCTATAAAATGTCTAATCAATTTTGAATAAATTAAATTAAAAATTCTATATGATTATCGGTCATTTTAATAAACTTCAATAGAATTTGATGAGAATGATATAGAAATTTATAGAACATTTATAGACATTCCATAGAAAATATGTACAGAAAGTTAATAGCATAAATATGGGAAAAGAAAGTGGATTCTATAGAATACAGAAATTTCTTTAAAATTTATATAGACTTATCGCTAATAAAAATTGGCTTCTATAGAATTCGTATAGAAAGTTTATAAACATTTTGTAAAAAAAAAGATGTACAGAAAATTTACGTTCTAAAGCAACTTTTTATAAAGTTTATAGAATAAATATAGAAAAATAGCGTGAATTCTAAAGATTACAGATTATATTCTACAGAATTATTATAGATTTATCGCGAATTTTAAAAAATGACATAGAATTCGTATAGAAAGTTTATAAACATTTTACAGAAAAGTCGCACAGCAAATTTCTCATTCTAAAATTTTTTTTTTAGAAAGTCGAATACAATGATTATGAATTAAAATATAGATACTATAGAATTTGTATTTGAAATTTACACATTACTGTAAAATTTGGTCAATAAATATTTTAGAAAACTTAAAGAAATGTTGGTCTATCGTAAAACCTAGAATTGAAGCCCAATGTGCTTAATCTCGAGAAGAAGCCGTTCTCGAATAGAAGCCCCTCTTTAGTTTGCAAAGTAGCCTCGAAAAGAAGCACTGGGCTTTTTTTCAAGATAGCATGGACTTCTTTTCGAGATAGTAGAGTATGTATACATTGTACATAAATTACAATTACTACTATAATGACTATACTCTCTGTCAAAAAGCAATTAACATAACATGTTCGATGTTAAGTGTTACAGATTTGAAAAATTTGAAAGAAATTATAAATTTTAGTCTGTACTGTTATACTTAACGAGATAAGAGCATTACAGGTATTATTGTTAATTGAAGATACTATATATTTTATAGGTGGTTTAAATAACAGCTAAACACTGTACTAAGATTACAGCAATTTTATTACGTTTATGTTAATTTTATTTTGAAGTTGTGATGATAAAATTTTATGATGAAGAGTTAACACATGAAGATAAGATGATTTAGATCTGATGGTTAGACCAAGTTTTTAACGGTAATGCTTTTATCGGAAGACGTGTATCACGAGTTGTAACCGGGAATTGGGTTAAAGAGATACATTTGAATGATAAAGATGATGTTATTGATGTTTGATGGATTGATTATTGATAAGATAAATGAGATACGATGTTATTAAGATTCCGATTTAATTATTTTACTTTTATTTATTTTACCTTTCTCTGATTGTTATTTCAGGGGTTTTTTGTTTTGTTTTGTATTTGCCTTTATATGAAGTTTCTGTTGAATAAACGCCCAGAAAGTACTTTGTCTTATCTCATCCTTTGACGTGTTTTGTGCCCACGACAAACTGGTGGCAGTGGTGGGATGGTTCAACAACAGCTTTGAAGTCAACGAGTTCCGAGCAAGCAACGAGTGCTACAAGTGTTCCGGATTGACGAGTACCAGACCCCTGAATGCAGAGGCTATGAATATAGATATATCTTTATTTATTTTATTTATTCGATTGATGTTATTGCATATGTCCGTATATTTTTATCTCCCTTTGTAAACCACACACAGCAACATGGCCGAAGTAAACGATGTCATTCAAGCTCTTACAGCAGCGTTGCAAGGACTAACAACACAACGTGGTCCACCTCCTGTGCGGCTTCGCAAGTTTAAAGGGCGACCTGCAGCAGCTGGTGAGTCAACGCTTAAAGAATGGTTAGATGATTTCAACAGCTATGCAGAGCATTATAATCTCTCGGGTGAAGCGAAAGAAAATTCGTTAATGGCACACTTAGGCAGAGATGCCAAAGATGAAATATTGTGCTTCGGTGACGAAGTAAAGAAAGACTATTCGAAGATATTAGAGAAGCTTGAAGCAAGATTTGCTCCCGTCAATACAGTACAGTCGCTAAGTGCAACTTTTCACAGTAGAGACCAGCTCCCAGAGGAATCACTAGGTGATTACAGCCGAGTGTTAACGAGGCTTTATCAGCGAATGTTAAAGGTAGCTGGTAGTGGCGGTGAAAGAAATGCGTTGGAACAACTGAGAGACAACACTCTAAAGGAGAGGTTTACACGTGGTGCAAGGGAGAAGTGGGTACAGATGGAATTAAGAAGGATAGAAATGTCGTGCAAAGACAAATCATTTCAGGACATGCGAGAGGAGGCATTGGAATTTTTCCAACTTCAAGAAAACCAGCCAAAGACAAAGGTGCAAGTTAATGAAGTAACTAATGAATCGAAGAATGCAGAAGTAGAAGCACTGAAAGAAGAGATAAGATCGATTAAAGAGCAACTCAGCAGAAAAAATGAGCGGAGAAGCGAAAGTCTGACTTGCTTTAAAGGCTTGGAGAAAGGGCACCATAATAGAGATTGCAAGAGTAGAGTTAGATGCTTGAACTGTAAAGAACTTGGACATATCAAGAGGGAGTGTCCAGCTCTTGCAAAGAGTCAAGGCAGCAACAGGAGGCCAGCAAAGACACAATTGCAGTAGAAAGTGTAATAAGTGACGGAAGTAGCGAAATGCAAAAGTTAATCGCAAGTAGTCCATCAGCTACAATCAACCTACTTGGAGTCGATATAGGCTGTATTTTAGATACTGGAGCTGAAACGTCGCTGATCCCGAATGAAACATATGGGACACATCTTAAACCAAGACTTGGAGGGAAGTCTCCAGAGGGTATATACATACCGATTGTAGGAGCGAATGGAAAACCTATTGATGTTGTTGGGTACGTCGAGCTCCCATTGAAGTATGGTAGTGATGTTGTAAAGTCAAGTTTTCTTGTGACAAAAGACTGCTCGGGTAAGCGAAGAGAAAATCATCCGTTTCTCTTGGGTTGCAACAACCTACGACTCTTAAAGCAATTTAATGTTCCTGTGAAAGATGGTTTTGCATGGCAGTTTGTCCAAAGGTTATTAGCAGATGAACCAACTGAGAAGAAACAAAGTATCTCATCCGAAGTCGCTGAACTGAAAGTTGCGGACAATGTTACCCTACCGGCATGCAGCGTAAGACGTGTTACTTGTAGTGTAGGTGAGCTGAAGGGTGATGTCATGGTGAGTCCAGTAGCAGTTAAAAGTGGTTTAGAAGTGGTGGAAGGTTGCGAAACCGTAGGAAATGGTGTTGTCCAAATAATGGTTGCTAATCCTGAGAAACACTCTATTAATTTGCAAAGTGGTTCAACAATAGGATCTGTAACAACTGTGAACCAAGAAAGCAGAGTAGTACTGAAAGAAGGGGAAAACTCGAGTCTGAAAATTTGCGTTAATGAAGTGCTAAAGGTCTCAGGTGATGTAGATAAAGTAGTGCAACCAGGTATGCAGGACGAAAGATTAAAGATTGATCAAGATGTTAAACCAGTTCCTGGACTTAATTTAAGTCACTTAAATGATGAAGACAAGCATAGAGTCACTGATTGCATCACAAACTATCCAGAAGCATTTTCTATGAGTGTATATGATGTCGGAGAGTGCGACGTTATCCCACATAATATCTCTTTAACATCAGATAAGGCTATCAAGCTTCCATTTCGGAGGATTTACGCACAAAGAGTTCCTGAAGTTAAGAAAATGATACAGGAAATGGTTGACCAGAAAATTATACGCCCATCCAAGAGTCCGTATGCAAGTCCCGTCGTCTTGGTAACAAAGAAAGGTGGATCCTTGAGACTGGTAATAGATTATAGGAAGCTAAACTCTATGACTATTAAAGATTCTTTCCCTTTACCTAGGATAGAAGAAGTGTTGGACCTGTTGGGAGGAGCTAGGTTTTTCTCGGCTCTAGACCTCGCCCATGGATATCATCAGATAACTCTAGAAGACACGTCAATAAAGAAGACTGCATTTAGTGTCCCATGGGGTCTGTATTAGTATTTACGTATGCCCCAAGGTTTAAGCAATGCTGCTAGTACCATGCAGAGAGTCATGATTTTTATATTTTCCGACATGAATATGGTGGATCTAGTGCTATATCTCGATGATATATTGATATTCTCAGCCACAGTGGAAGAGCATTTGGAGAAAATTGAGAAGGTGCTGAGCAGGTTAAGTAAGTTTGGACTAAAACTCAAGGGGAAGAAATGTAAATTCCTTGTTCCAGAAGTAGAGTATCTTGGACACATTGTCAGTAGTGAAGGTGTACGAGTGACCTCGGACAAAGTCAAGAAAGTAGAAGAGTGGCCAGTACCCACATCAGGCAATAAAGTGCGTTCTTTCCTTGGATTAGCATCATACTATAGAAGATTTGTACCGAGGTTTTCAAGAATTGCTGCGCCACTTCATGCTCTTGTGAATAAAAGTAAAGATACAGCCAACAAACAAGCGGGGAAGTTTGTCTGACCGGAAGAAGCAGCTGAATCATTTGCAAAACTGAAGCAGTCTTTATGCACCACTCCAGTACTTTTCCAGATTTTGAGTTACCATTTACATTAGAAGTGGGTGCGGAGAAAAACTATAGTGATTTGTCGAGCTTTAAAGTAGAGCTGTTAGCGCTTAAGTGGGCTGTAGCAGAGAAATTTGGCCCATATATACTACACAATAAGTGTGTAGTATACACTGACCATAATACTTTAGTCCACTTAGAAACCGCAAGACTCGGAGCAACTGAACAGAGGTGGATAGCGCAACTAGCACCGTACAACATAGAGATTAAATACAAACCAGGAAAACTGAATACGTGTGCTGATGCATTGAGCCGATTAGGTACGAATGACGTCATCCAGCGTATCGCCGGAAGTTTACCTAAGAAAGAATTGAGTGATGTAGTAGAAGTAAGAGAAGTTACTATTCAGAAAGGCTGGCCTGTGTGTTCCCATCGTACAGTTCTCAACAGTTGCACCAATTTCAGATTGAGTCATCTACTTTAGGTGAAATATGGCATATGAAAGATAGAAATTGGACACCTGGTCAAGATTATAACAAAGAGATTAAAGGCATCGGTGGTTGGGTTAGGGTGTGGAACAGTCTTGTCGAAGAAGAAGGAGTTTTATATAGGTTGACAAGTGACAAAATTCATGGTAATATCAAACAGATCGCTATACCTGAAAGTATGCGTCAACAAATCTTAGAGATTGTTCATGATACTACACACAAGATGTTTTTGGCCAGGAGCAAGAAATGATGTCAAGTCGCATATAAAGAAATGCTTTAGATGCACAGTTAGCAAAAGTCAAACACCAGCAATACGTCCACCTTTGAGGCACCTTCTAGCGTTTAGGCCACTAGAACTTGTTGCAATAGACTTTTTGAAGTTAGATAGAAGACGTGGCGGGTATGAAAATGTACTCGTGATGACTGATGCGTATTATAAATTTGCCGTGGCAGTTCCTTGTAAGAATCAGTCAGCAAGATTAGTAGCACAAGCATTAAGAGATAACTGGCTTGCATACTTTGGTATCCCTGATAGGATCCATTCCGATCAAGGCAAGAAAATGAAAGCACGCTCATTAAAGAACTCTGTAAGTTGTACGGAATCGAGAAATCCCGAACGTCTGGTTACCATCCTGCTGGTAACGGGCAAACAGAGAAGTTTAATCGAACGCTATGTGCATTGCTGAGAGCTATCAAACCTGCTGAAAGAAGACGTTGGAAGATATAATTTCTCACATGGTTTTTATGTATAATAGCACTCCCCATAGAGTGACTGGGGTGACACCATATCTTCTCATGATGAACAGAGAACCGAAGTTGCCCATTGATCAGCTGTTGAACAAAACTGACAGGGGCGGATTTAGTGGGGGGGGGCCGGCCCGGCCCCGGCCCCCCCCCCCCCTTTTGGGAGGTAAAAAAAAGAAAAAAGAAAGAAAAAGAAAAAAATTATAGCCCAGAACGCCTCAAATGTTATTTTCGGGCGTCTAGAACACAACAATTTCGCGGGGGCATGCCCCCGGACCCCCTAGGACATTGTTGTCTCGATCGACCCAAATTTCGGCTCCCCTTTCGGCCCCCCCTTTTGGACATCTCTGGATCCGCCCCTGACTGATTCCGATTGGCAGGAAGAATATATCACGAGCTAGGCAGAAGTAATGAGTACAGTCCATGATGTTGTTAAAAATAGACTTCTTGATGCTGCTAGAAAAGAAGAAGAACGTCATAAAGTTAGCAATTGCGAACCATTTAATGTTGGAGATAGGGTTCTACTTAAAAGAGAACAGTTCGAAGGACGACACAAATTACAAGACAAGTATGAGGAATGTTCCTATACTGTGGTGGATGTTAACAATGAGGGAGATGTATATCAGTTGCGATCATCTAACGGTGGAGAAGCAAAGTGGGTAAACCGTAGAAGGATCATAGCTGACCCACGTAATTATCATAAAGAACACATAAAGATTGATACTTACTCACATGATGGTGAAGAATCTTCTAATAGTAGTAGTGATACCTCATCTGATGATTTCTCTGAGGAAGATGAGTATTGGATAGACTTCCAAGCTCCATGTCGATGATCAACAAGGAAAAACAAAGGGCTCCACACCAATTTACATCATTTGCCTAAGTCCACGCTTAAGTAAGTTGTCTTTGCTTTCGGGGTCGAAAGCCATTCAAGCGGGGAAGTTGTCGAGAAGTGAATCATTTTATTAACTATTTTTTTTATTGTGCACTACTTTATTTTGTGTAGGGATCTATCCCTTTTGTTGTTTCACCCCTTTGCGTAGGTGTATATTGTTTTAGCGCCCTTGTGATTAGGCTAATTAGTAGCGCTTGGTGTAAATTGAGACCAAGGAGTCAGTGGATCGCTTGCATTGATTGAGTCAAGACGTACTGAGAAATGCACCGTACAGATAGACAAGAAAATTAAGAATTTTGCGATCTGAATAGAATGATCTTTGTTAACTGATAACTGGTATGTTATATATTTGATTGTATTAATTACTTATATAATGATTGAGCAAGTTCTGCTTGCAAATTTTATCGTAATGTTATGTATTTCCTAGGACCAGAATAATCTTTATGTTAAGTTCGAAGCCGTATAGAATGATGTCTAGCGGGCTACGTCGGGAGAACTCTCGATCGTAGGCCTAGTAAAACTTGATATTGATTCGTTGACAGTAGGTTAAACTTATATGAATAATATTATTTCATGAATGTTACCGTTCTAGACTATTTAAAGCCTTTATAGACATTATCATGTGCCTTTTATGTTGAGTAAGTTAGCTTTCTTTGTTCGGTTAGCTGGTAGATAAGCGTCTGTAAGCACAGCGTGGTTTATCGCAGCAAACCATGTTTCTTTTGTCGATAAGCTTTACCATGTGTGGTTGTTGTCATTAACTCTTGTGCTATAGAGGGCGCTCTAATATAAACATTAGACAAAGATGGCTACGCCCACGATAATCGTAGTGCAGCATAAGTTGACATGTTTTAAGTTGTATTTTATAGTTAATCTTGTAATGATTATGAATTTACAATGCCTATAAACGATATTTATTGTTTAGTCAATGTTAAAAGATGAATATTTAGTAGATAAGATAATCACAGATTGTATGCACTGTAACTGTTATATTACAATGACATATCGTGATTAATTATATGCATACTGTTGTCTATACGGGCATTATATTGTAATGTGTTCATTCAATAGGTTGTTTACATTGAGAACATGAGCTTATCGAGGTTCTATTGAATTAGGCCCATATCGGCCGCTACCTATAGCTGCCGCCTTCCAGAACGGCCGCCAATGCGTGTATATGTATGGAACGCCGATGACGCATTCACAATGCAGTCCAGTACAGTGTAGTTCGGCCGAGATATATTTGTATGGAACACCAAGTAGGCGCAAAGCTATTGCTGCAACAGTATCCATTATTTTGTGTTTTATTGTTAGGTCTTTTTATGTTGCCAAATAATTAATGTGTTTTTAAGTAAATCCGGGCATTATTATGCTGCCATTAGTTTGCCAAAACGACAGTGGATTTTATTAGGTTTTGTGTAAGTCCCGTATAAGTTAATAATTAATTATGTAGATGTTTTAAATAGATAAAACGAAATAGCCATCTAATTAATTAATTTTTAACTTATACGGGACTTACACAAAACCTATTTAAAACAAACAAATGTACATTGTATATGCAATCATATGTTAATAATCGTATTGTATTATCAGGTATTTTGCTGCAAATTAATTAATGTTGTTTTAAGCAATTCAATGGAATTGAATTCAAATGGAATACTGCGATGAGTTTGCGAAGAAAACATTGGATTTTATTAGGTTTGTGTAAGTTAATAAATGTTTTAAGATTCATAAGTTTCATTTTATCTATTTGAAACAAATGAACAGTGGGTTACATTAGGTTTGTGTAAGTTAATAATAAATGTTTTAGGATTCATATATTTCGTTTGACCTATTTGGAACAAACGAACAGTGGATTTTATTATGTTTGTGTAAGTTAATAATAATGTTTTAAGATTCATAATATATTTCGTTTTATCTTTTTGAAACAAACGAATTTATATGTTGATAATCAAACCAACGGATTTTATTATTTTCATATTACAGTGTCGATGCATATATTGAAGAAGAGAAAGAAGAAGATTGTTGGTAATATTATCAATATACTGCCAAATTATATTTTTCGTAATAAAATATTTAAGCTTACAGTATTTGATGCTTTATGTTTCGTTGTATATTATGTCTAGGCCTATAATACATTCTTAAATGATTTATTGATTTTGAAGCAGAAAGTATATAAACGCCACAAAAAGTCACATTATTTATGCCCCGTTCGGCACTCAAAATTTCCGACCGGCGCTGACAGTCTGCCGACCGGCATTGCTTTTTTCAATGATTCTGTGTATTATTTTAGAAAAAAAAAAAATCAGTGGATTTTTATAATATTATTAAAGTTTACAGCATTTGATGCTTTATGTTTCGT